AATATTTGGAGTACCGATGGAATCTCCACTCTCACCTCTTTTGGTAAATGTGTACATGGACAAATTGGAAAATGAATTCGAGAAGTCATTACTGTAATCAAGAGTGCTTATGCAATACCTGGATGATTACTTTGCACTTTGATTTCATGGTAAGAAAAATGTTTAAGAAGATGAGCTACTATCTTTGCTGGATGTTGAGGTCATTCGCTACAACTGAGTACTCGAGAGGGGATTTTTCAGAAAGAAATCGCATGCGGGAGTAATCCTCAATTTCTAGTCTCATCACAAACTACAGACTGAAACTAGGACTAATGAGGAGTATGATCATAAGAGGCTAACGGACAGTGAGTTATAGGACGAGGTCTTTGAGAAACTGACTCGGATTTGTTTGGTATTTGGTACCCCAGAGAATTAGCAGAAAGAAATATAGGTGTCATAAAGGGCAGATTTCAATTCGGATCTTATGAAAATAAACCAAAGAATCGGGAGGACGACCAGAGGTGAATATGTATGCCTTCCTGTGAACTGAGTCAAAAATTGCGATCGTTACTAATAAAATGGAAAATCAAGGTAATAACAAGGGAGATGACAGTAGTCTTCATTAGCCTGCCGACGCAACACGATAAGGTTGAAAAACTGGACTGCTCGGGAGTCTATAGCATCAAATGCAGCAACTTTGAGTAGAAGTATATTGTTAAAACGGGAGGACAATTTGACCTACGAAGCAAGGAGCACCAAACACTTTGCAGAAACATGGATACGGAAAGATCTGAAATAGCGGAACAAATCGCACGGATGGGACACGAAATTGACTGGAAATGGACAGAAAGGTCGACTGCATATGGTGAAAATACGAGAAAATACAAGATCCATGAGGTCATCGATATACGAGCAGAAAGAAATCCAATAAAAAGAAGACTTTAATAAGGCATGATCAGCGAAAACTTCGCAGATTGCCTAAGTGAACTTGGAGAAGATAAGGCAACTGTAAGATCTGCAAAGAGAAGACGACTGTATCAAGTTAACATCTTTAATTTTACGAAAATAAATTACAAGGATACCAGAGAGGATCAATCGGAAACCAAGAAGAGACGTCTACAGTGAGCCTACTCAAATCAAGTAGACTTATTTCATTTGAGGGTCGGCACACAGGAGACTTGGGCATAAAAAAATCATAGACTTGTCATTTAGGATAGAAGAGCGAGAGTTGCAGCCGAGACCATTGATAAAAGATTATTAGGAGAAAAGTTTTAATCATAGACGTGATCCATGACGTAAAGGCTTGACAACGAGATTTACTCGGTGCACCTGGCGCACAGTGATAAGGGAATCTGAAGCGTCAAATTAGGTTTCCATGTTAATAGAGAATCTAGACTTTAGGGACTTTCTCAGTAAGACTGGCGTATATGAGCTATCAAAGGCTTTGGGCAAAGTGTAGGGCATAACGCTTTGAGTAGTACGGATATAGTGGCCGCGATCGAATAAAATGACTAAGCCAGACAGATAAGAGACGTACCCTACATAGAAGAAGGGAGACTCTGATAGGAGCTGAAAAAAGAGGATTGCGATCTAAACTGCAGCATTGGATCAACACTCCCGGCAAAGTGGGGAGGATGTGGGAACCAGCAGGCAGTGTGAAATGGTCTCAACTAGGTTTAGATAAACAAGTAAGAAATTGTGACATTTAAGAAGTGATACGAGGAACTAGGGTAGGTGAAAAGCACAAGGCAGAAGAAGAGATATCTCAACTGTTTAGCAAACAATTGGACAAAGGATCGACTTCACTTGTCTCTTTGACGAGTTGTGGTGTGATGCTAAGAGTGGCAAGGCTTACTGATGACGCCGGCGAAACGTCTGGGAATGTAGCAAGTCCACAGTCCGACTATGGAAATTATCATGCATCCTATCGACTCCGGACTAGATGCGTTCCTCAAGGTCTTCCTGCCAATATGGCCAAGTTGCGAAAACAAGGTCAAACAACTTCTGTAGTTCTGCGCTTTACAAAATCATTTTACACGGGTCGAGTGTATGTCAGCTTTGTAAGTTGCTCATTCAATGCCTCAGGTTTGATTATCCAAGGAGGGCTTCTGTGGTGAGATGTTTTGGTATGGTCGCAGTCTCCTTTCGATGTTTAGAATTTTTAGAGTTTCTGACAAAAACTAGTATCCTCTTAACTAGACTAATACCAAATCGTATCAAGGAGGTTCGATTATGAGGCAAAATCATTTAGAATGTATGGGAACGAAAAGGTGTACTAAAATACTCGCTTATAAAAGTGTTTAGTCCCACCAACTCTTTTCTTGTTTTCTACTATTTCTTGCCTCTTCATCCACCTTCTTCTCACTCTTTCTATTTTTCCACTATCTCCGGATAATCATTATTCCCTATTTCTTCTTACCTTTTTCTATCCTCTTCTTGTCTCATTCTTTTTAACTCACTTTTTCACAACTCCATTATCTTGTTTGTTTCTCTTCCGTACAATTCTTCTAATTATCTTTGATTCCTCATCACTTCCATTTTATTTTGCTTGTTTCCACCTATCATCTCCTAAATAATCTTGTGGGTTTTTTTTTCTGGTCTATCCCTCACTGCTATTTCGTTTCCCTTGGTCACTAGCCTGTTGCTTGACTATGCAATCAATAAGTGCAAACGGCCGGTCCAGGTGGCCAGAGTCCATTGCTGCGCCTTCACTACGCCATGCCAGATTCTGGAGAAGTTGGGCCAGCACTGTATCACCGTGACTAGTAATGGGGGCATTGGTGCCGGAAGTTGCGGCAGAAGTCGAGCTGGCGTCGGGGAGGATAGTGTGGGCTTGGGGAGGCCAGGAATTGCTGCTGACCAGACGTCAGGGCATTGTCGGGTTATGAGACCACGCGAGGGTGACTGTCTCATCTTGCACCTGAAGGACCTGAATCTGGTGAAGCCAGACAAGTGGGGCACCTGCCAACTGGTAGCTTTCCTCCAGCAAGTGAGCCAAAAGCCAGAAGGCTATGATTTATTACGTGATTTTTCTGTTTCCTCCCTTCTCCAGTTTTATCCACACTTGACCAAAGTTCACGTGTTTCACAATAACAAGGTTTTGATTCCTCCTTCGAGTGTCATTAGCTCTTTTTCTGCTCAAAAATGCATCCCATTGCAGATGATACAGACTTTTGGTAATTATTGGAGTGTTGTGGCCATTAGCCTTCCATTAAAAGCGCACTCTTCTCTTTAATGGCAATATAAACTAACCATATTCCCTCATTTTATCGGAAGCCGGAACTTCCCCTATTCTAC